AAAGAAGTCAAAGGGACCAAATACAGTCAAAGGATGATTACACATTACATTCCAACCAAAAAAGTTATGGTCCAGATTTGTAGTCTCATATTGAGACTCATTTTTAACATAGTAAACGTTTGAATTGGAAAATGATATCTGAATTAAAGTTGTATCCCTTTGAGTTATATTTCTAATATATCTTGAATTGCCTCAATCGGATATCGAGAGAAGAAGTTATGATAAAAATACTGAATGATAGTTTAGTTCATGATAAGAAACATGACAGAGTTTTGGTTACATGACAGAGTCTGGATTGAGAGGGATAAATGGGGTGGATATTGGCAACCTATTATCTATGATAAGGTGCCTGACTTTTGTTTCTGATGTAGAAATTTTAGACATTTGGATGAGAAATGTTCTTGTAGTTCACATCCGCCCCCACCATCTATACCCCCTTTCGCTGTTGATCATACTTCTAGGCCTTCCCTAGTCTTCGCTAATGATAAGGGTAAGGTGCAGGAGGTTGTGACCGTGCCTCGCCAGAGATGGATGCCGATTAAGTGAAATCAGAATAGACAAGAACCAAATGTGATTTCTCATTCTACTTCTCAGACTATTACTTATATTCCTCCAATTATCCCGGGCAGTATAGTTACTGCAGCACAAATAGTTTCTACACATATGGCTCTTATCTCCTTTATTGCTCTACCTGTTATTAATACTATTGATCCACAGATTACTACTTCTATGTCATAAAATCAGTTGACAGTTGCTCCTCTCAGGGTTATTCCTCAGAGTCCACATGTTATTACATCAGTTGATGATTCAGGTATTCAGGCTTCGGTCCCCATCAACTGTACTTCTATGACAGCTACTTCTACACACTTTGACCCTCTCTTGATGGATATACTCGAGAGGCCACAGGGCTTTAGTAGTACGGATGTACCTATTGTACAGTGTCATCAGAATATGGAGGCTCCTCCTTCTACGGATCAGTTGGATTCAGGGGCTTTCATCAGGTTGAAGTTCATCAGTAGGGTCCTTTTCGTAGATCTTCTTCTAATGATTTAACAGGTACGACTGATATGACAAAGGAGGATGGATTTGTCCCAGTAAGTCAGAAGAGACATTCAAAAGTTACTGACAATTCACTACCCAAGATGAGGACCAGGAGTCGGTTGCAGGATACCTCTTCACGTACATCCAGATGAGTGCCATCATCTAAAATATGAGAGGTATAGCTAGTGTAGCTACTCGCAAGTGCCTGAGAAAACTTATTCAGCTTCAATATTGAAAACAATCTCCCATACCCCATCAATCAGAGGGAGGCGGTTCAGCACCATATTGTCTGCCTCCGTCAGTATCCTAGGTATGATATCAGGACGAATATACTCCAGAGGTTGTGAAGGAGCGGATAATAATTCCTAGAAAAAAGATATAGACGAGCTCTGAATATCTGCAGGAGTAGTAAGAACTTCCTCTGCCCGAGTTGTGATGGTCCTGATACGAGATCTGATCCATCGTCCATGTACCAGCGAATGAAAATATCTGGTGTTGCGATATCTCTCTCACATACCCAACGGAGTCGGCCTTTTGCTTCAAAAAACCCTCCTCAATAGCTAAGGTTCGGTTTAAATTAGCCTGTACAGGATGAAGTAAATCACGGTGCTCCGGTGTAGGATCAACCTCAAAATTAATCTCTGACTGGTCAACCCTCTCCTCAACATCTCTAACTCTCTGGAACACATACCAAAAACTCGTCGATTCTACCACCTAAGTCCATGTTTCAGCCTAAAAAACTTCTCCCGTAGGACAGTCATTTATGTAAGATGAGTAAGGAGTGACTACTTTTGAGAAACGAAGGCTGAGAAGTCATAATGTTTGTCCAAACATTGAGGAATCTAAATGGTCTAGGACCTAAACCATCATCAGAAGTCCACTGTAAAAGTAGGTGTGAATGATCAAATGAAGTACGATCAGATAAGTCACAGTAAGTTGTCTGGAAAAGTCTGCAGCTAAAGAGT